ATACAGTAGTAGTTATTATATATAAATATTATAAATATATTTAATTATATATACAGTGGAGTAAAACCTAAACCAATCGTTACAATAATTTATTTGGTGATGGAGTTATTGAAACAATACATACAAAACACATGATAAAAATGAATTACATTTAAATTTAACATTTTATTATTAATTATTTTATAAATACTATTACATTATAAATGAATGATAAAAGATGGTATATATAAATACAGATTATATTATTATTATTATTAAATATTATTATTATATTATAAATATTATATATAATTTTTAAATGATTAAAAGCTTTTAACTCTTAAATACTTGTGTGTAATTTAATTAACAACCCTATTAATCACGTACATATATTTACCCTAGATAACTATTCTAGTAATCACGTGCACAGTATAGTGAAGTTAATAATGATTTAGTCCATGTGTCGGGACAATAGGCCTGAGTGTTGGCCAAACATAAGACAGTTTTCACTAACTATAAGGAATTCAATTCAGTGTTGAATACACTTTTAATAAAAAATAATTCAGCTTATATGAGATTTTGTTTCGCAAATGCAAATAATGTAATAACTTATTATAATAATAACTATATTCGGTAACCTCTCGGCAACATTAATTCTTATATCAATGTAAGATTTACTCGATGTTTAACACAATTTAATTTGATGTTTGCAATTTAATAATTGTATCAATAGATGTCGCTGTTTATCACAATTTGAACATTTTAAACATGTGATTATTTAATAACAAAAAGTTGAACTTTGTAGTTTTAACTATGATAATAATTATAAAATGGCTATTTACGTCGCTTTATAATAATTATTTCACAGATATTTATTGGTGATAATCATTGTTAAATGTGATAGTTATCTAAATTCTGTGAATACTTTAAAATAATTGTTATAAAATATGTCTGAATTGTTAAACCAGTTTGGAATTTATTATACAATTCCAGCAAATATTAGAGAAAATATTCGAAAATTACACGTTTTTAAAATTAATCCTAATAATTATAATTATAAAAATGTATTATTTGTGACCAACGATGATATGGTTTATGGGTTTGGATCCAATGAATATGGATTATTAGGTTTAGGACACAACAGTCCTATACCATCACCAGAAATAATACAACAATTATGTCATCAAAACATACAATACTTTGTCAATGGATGTGATTTCGTGTTAGCAGTGAATGATATGAATATTATATATGGGTTTGGTAATTACAAACTGGGAACATCACCATTTGACAAATTTGACAGTAAACATGTTGAATTTTTAAAACCAGTAATGATAGACTATTTTAATGATAAAAGTATTGTACAAATATTATGTGGCCTGAAACATACACTTGTCCTCACAAGTGATAGCCGGGTCTATGCCTGGGGTCACAATGGTTACGGACAACTTGGGTGTGGAACTTATAATACTTATATTTATACACCAATTAAAATACAATTCCCTAATAATTATAAAATACAATCCATTTATTGTTATTATAATTCTTCATTTGCCATCACAACTGATGGACATGTCTTCAGTTGGGGTAACAACAGATGCTGTCTGGAAGACAATATAACTTTTGAAAAAATATTAAACCCCCGATTCGTATCAAACATAATGAATGTGAAAATAATTAGTTGTAGTTATTTGGGAACATATTTTCTGACAACAAATGGTTTATATTTTTGCGGAACATATTTTGAAAATAATGAACAATTGACTGAAACAACTCCGAAACAATTACTATCCAAACATTGCTTTCAAAATATACAACAAATTAATTCGTGGATTCATCTAAAAAATACTGAATTACTTACTGTTTTAATTAATAATAAAATATATAAAATATCGTACGAAAATGAATTAATTAAAACAAATTGTAATAATTTTATCGAGTTTTACGCTAATGAATACCAAATGACTTACAATACAATTAGTCTTAACAAACCACTTCAATTAACACAACAACTACAATCAAATATTGGTTTAAAATATTCAGAATATGGTAATTTATAACAAAAACTAACCTTGTTGATCTTACAATTAGAGATTGAAAAATGTTAAATTTTTTTGTTTGGTATCGTATCGGTGTCGCGAACATTACAAAACTCAGTGTCGGTGTCGGTATCGTTAGTGTCGTGAGTGTTGTCAATGTCGTGAGTGTCGTGAGTGTCGTGAGTGTCGTGAGTATCGCGAGTATCGCGAGTGTCGTAAGTGTCGTGAGTATCGCGAGTGTCGTAAGTGTCGTGAGTATCGCGAGTATCGTTAGTATCACGAGTATCGCGAGTGTCGTATTACTATACTAAACAATACATAGAGTGCTTATTTGCACCTCTTTAATACATATATCCCTCCGCGCATTATTCTATCCAATAGTCAATCCTCAATGTTTACCGCTATGTAAAACTCCGTCTGGTAATATCAGTAGTAGCGAGTGTTAGTTATGTTGAGCATGCGCAGTCATTGGTATCGTTAGTGTCGTGAGTGTCGTGAGTATCGCGAGTGTCGTGAGTATCGTTAGTATCGCGAGTATCGCGAGTGTCGTGAGTGTCGCGACACTAGTGTCGGTGTCGTATCGGTATCGCGACACCGATACCGACACTCAGTGTCGCGACACCGACACTCAAATTTCAATCTCTACTTACAATCGATTTATATTAAATTTATTTATAGCAGATAGTAGCGTCGAATCAAGTAAAACGTTTTACCAGGATAATTTTAAGGAACCGGAATATATAGGAGAAGGTGCGTTCGGCACTGTCTATAAGGCCGTAGATAAATTGGACGGCCAGGTGTACGCCATTAAAATTATCGGTACTATTCAACATATTGTTATTTCTTACTTAATAAACATTTTTTTATAGCGACAAATAATAAAGACAAACACAAAGTGCTAAATGAGATAAAATGTTTGGAAAAAGTGCGCTCACAATATGTGGTCCAGTATTACCACTCATGGTTTGACAACAATCTGCTGTACATTCAAATGGAGTATTGCCCGCAAAGTCTGCGGTCAGTGCTTAACGATAAAGGGCTGGCATTTGGCCGACAATTGCCGGAACAGCCGATGAATTCGTACGAGTATTACATTTCGTGCGAAATATTTCGGGAACTTTTACAGAGTGTCCAATATTTACACGAACTAAAGCCGCAGATAATCCATCGGGATCTCTATCCGGATAACGTATTGATTAATTTGCCACCTCCTAATATGCAAGTGCCTCATGTTTGTGAAGAGTGGAGATTTATTAAGCTAGCTGACTTTGGTCTGGCCACTCTACACGACCCAGATGTGCACTATAGAACCAATCAGAATCATACACGTGATGTGGGTAATATTAGATATCAGGCGCCCGAAGTGTCAAATGGTCAGAAATATGGCCACAAATCAGATGTCTATATGTTGGGCCAAATTGGGGGCGAATTGTTTGATCTAGCGCTCAATGTCAAGTATATTATGAATTAACTAATATTGATTTATTTATAATTATTGAATTTTTTGTATTAAGGACATTAGATGCCTATCCGCATAACCACGGTCTAATCCGACCGGTCGTAAGCCTACATAGTATACTGCAGTCAATGACGGCGTATCCTCTATGTGATAACAGGCCTGAGTGTGAGCAAGTGTTGGCCAAATATCACATGTGGTCTATCGATAAGAGTGTTGTCATTAATGATAAAGATTACAATTCAGTATTAAATACACTTAAATCTAATGACAATCCATTTTTCTATGAGTTTTTAATGTGTAAATTAAATCATACCGATGTGTCTACCCGTTTTGTCCCTCCCATATACAGCCCATTCATAGATATATTTAAAACTTATTCACAATTATTTTACCAATTATTATTGGGTATTGTTATGGCATTTATAATTAATTGGTTTATTAATTATATTTAAATTAATGTAAACAAATAAGAAAACTATGTTATTCTATTTTAATTTATAATAGTAATCCCATAAGCCACATTCTTTACACAATTCTTATAAATTGATTTTATTTTTTAATTATTGTGCATTTTATATTAACCTATTTACAAGTTTTGCAATATTATAATACTTTTATTATAAAGATTTATACAAATAAACATTTGAATACTACCAGCAGATGGCTGTAAGACTTATAATTATATCACTATTCACTTGTTTACATAAAATAAAAAGTTTTATGTTTTATAATCTTTGCTACTTTGATAGTAAAATCAGTTTATACATTTTTTTAATAAACGCAATTAAATATACAATTTCAGGCCTTTTGCATATGAATTGATGACAAAATGGCAGATATTTATTGAGAGTTATGGAAAAATAACATTTATTAAAGTTTGTTATATTGTGAATAAAGTTATTTTATAAAATTAATCCGGCATGCAAAAAGGTGACACTTTGGTGACAAAAAATATATATTAAAGTATATTATGTTTACAATGTGTTCACAAAGTAATGCTTTTGTAATGAAATCACATAAATGACTTGATACTGCAATATATATTAAAATGTCTATTGCATGCCTTAATAATTAATAATAAACTATTAAATATAATAAATGTTAATTACGACAATATTGTTTTGTATTGTATTTAGTAATAAAATATTTCGTTAATCTATATTACAGTTATTTTAATTTTTAAATATTGTGAAATATGACTGAATTGTTAGAAAAGTTTATTATTTGTAATAATATCCAGAAGAATAGAGAAAATATTATAAAGTTACATGTTTTTAATGATTATAATTCTAATGAATATAATGTATTATTTGTTACATCGAATCATATGGTCTATGGTTTGGGTCATAATAGTAATGCATGTCTGGGTTTGGGACACAACAGACCAATACTATCACCAGAACTGATACCGTAATTATGTCGTCAAAACATACAATACTTTGTCAATGGATGTGATTTTGTGTTAGCAGTGATTCATATAAATATTATATATGCGTTTGGCAATAATCATTTTGGACAATTGGCTCTGGATACATTATATTACAAAGATTGTTTAAAACCAGAAATAATAACATATTTTAATAATATAAATATTGTACAAATAAGTTGTGGCAATCTTCACACACTGGCCCTCACAAGTGATGGCCGGGTCTATGCCTGGGGTGACAATAGATACGGTCAAATTGGTTGTGGAGATAATAAACCTTATTCTACACCAATTGAAGTAGAATTCAGTAATAATTATAAAATACAATCCATTTATTGTTATAATGACTGTTCATTTGCCATCACATCAGACGGACATGTCTTCAGTTGGGGTTATATTATAAGCAATAAATTGGGACACAATATAAGTGATAATCATCTAATGAAACCCCCATTAATGTTAAAAATAAATAATGTGAAAACAATTAGTTGTACAAAACTTGGTACATATTTTCTGGCAACAAACGGCTTATATTTTTGTGGACAGAATGATCTAAATTTAGTATTTTTTAATGGAGAAATATTTAAAAATACAGGGAAACAAATATTATCTGAACATTGCTTTCAAAATATACAACAAATTAATTCATGGCTTTATAAAAATAATACTGAATTTATTACTGTTTTAATTAACGAGAAAATATACAAAATATCACAAGAAAATGAATTAATTAAAACAAATTATAATAATTTTATGGATTTTTATGCCAATGAATGCCAAATAACTTATAATACGAGTAACTTAAAAGAAACAAATAAAAATGAAAATTATAATAATTCAAGTGATGGTAACTATAAAACCCAATTCATTGAGATGTCAGCCATAGGTTCGGGTGGTTTTGGGACTGTATTTAAAGTAAAGCATAGATTGGATGATAAGATATATACTTTAAAAGAGTACAATTCGGGGGTAAATTGAATTACTAATTGTTTTATTTGTTTATG